TCTTATTCACTCGGATAATTTTAAATAGTTGGGTACAAACGATGTCATAATTCAAGGTATCAAGTTATTCGGTACATACAAATTTTTTTAAACCGACAACGGAGATTTTAGTGTTTTTTTATAAATAAATGATTTAATAAAGTCATATGATAAATTGAATAAAATTTGGATTTGTTTTTATTTTTATTTGTTGCTATTTTTTATGTTTTTAGGGCATATTTATAAAGCATATTTTACGGTTTTTTTGGTGATATAAAATCCGAACCTTAATTATAACAGTTATAACATTTTTTCAATTCTTCTTATCTCCTATATTATTTAAGTGAAAACTTCTTTAGGCACGTTTAGCACTTTTTGTGGGTACTGAATTGAACTGAGCTGTCACGCTCGGCTTTGTAACACTCAAGTCGACTAAGCATGAGAGGTACAGTCAGCAGAGCGAGAGGGAAAGATAGTCGAAGCGTCACTGCCACACTCGCTCGCAGAATTGTTAGGTTAGGTTAAGTTAGCACGGCCAAGCATAGTAAGTCAGCGCAGAGGCTAATGGCAAATGGCTCAATGGTGCTAAGGGTCACGAGGGCATACAGAACTGTATCCTTCTAGGCAGTGACGTTACTAGCTTCCATGCCCCCGATCACGCCACTAGCGAAGGAACGTACCGCATTCCAGAACTCGAAAAACAAGTTACAAGAACTCCAAGGCTCGCGAAGAGGAACGATGTTAGCATGGTGTCTACACATGCAATTAATTCAAGATTTTGAATTCCCGCCATGTGTGGGTAGTATATGTTTTATTTTATGTTATCGTTTTCATGTGCACGTAACGGTGCGTTCCACAGTTGCAGCCGTCGTCGGCGGACGCTTATCAGGCGTTCGTGTGCGACCGGCCAGCTGTGGAATCATTATTAATGTTTTCATTTTTTTTTTCGGTTATGTTCAAAACTTTAAGTTTTTCATTTAGTCATGCTTTCAGTGCCACAAAGTTCCTAGTTTTTCCATTGTTTATTGTTTAGTGTGATGACACTGAAAGACCATTCATTTCATTTTGTCGTTTGTTCTTGTCCGTTACATGACCTTCACTTCATATAAGGCCACTGTCCAGTCAGCTTATTTTCGTGTTCGTACAACACTAGTTACATGTTCTGTTTGCAGTCGTCCCAAACCACGTTGTTGTGATTTTGTGAATCCATCGTCTGGTAATTATCGTTCCGTGTATTTTCATTGCTATCAATAACTTGTTATTCCCTAGTCTAGGGAAGTCAAATTACAAGCGATTTGTGCATTGATTCAACGTGTTTTGGTGTATCTCATCGCTCGTGGGAACAGTAGTGTATGCTAGAGATCATGTCCCGGCTGCATTCAGTGTTTTCTATTGTGAAGTCTTCGTTAAAAGTTGTCGGCACACATTCGCACGTACGCAGGGTCAATTTGTTTTTTTATTGTAACTTATTTGACATAACTACAGGCCCTGGTGCGGTAGCGTGGGTGTAAAACCAGGTGTGTGTCTCAACTGTCATGTGAGTATTGGTCGACCAAATGCCTGTGTGTATGACCGACAGGTCTTATATTATTGCCATATTTTTTGTAGCTATACATACATATTGATTTATTTTACATTATATTTATTTATTTGAAACTGATACTATCATTTTTATATATTGCATTATTATTATATCAAATAACTGGCTGTGATTTTTATTATTATATTGCCGGAGAGGACCCAGCAAGCAGTAGCGACGTGACGAATAACCACTAGTTAAGTAACACTAATGTAGGCGAAGCCCAATGAGTAGGGTTAGAACCCCTACAATGTGTAACTAGGGAGAAATAATAAAGGCCGGTTATGGAAGGTGTGCCCCCAGGACCACCTATTATTTCATAATGTAAAGTTTTTTAATAAACGACAGGAACCTGGAGGAAGTAATGCTAACGAAGTCCCCTCCAGATTTCCCCTTGCTTTAAAAAAAAAAGGTTAGGTTAGGTTAGACCCCCCCCTCTACGGAACCCACCTTGACGTGGTGGGGGGCTCACAGGCCATTAATTTGGTCTATGCTAAGAGTTCTCCACTCACTGTACGGCTGATACCCGTACAGAAAACTCGGGAAACCATAAAATAGCCCTTTTTAGAACTTTACAAATTAAATCCACCCGAGCGCACCGGTCTCGTTCACGCTACCCGATCGGACTTCGGTGACAGACGCCACTTCGTTAAGCGGGCCTGACAACGAGGAAGTTGTTAACATCCGTATTGTAAATAAGAAACATCCCCGAAGTGTGTACCAGGACCGAGACGCCGGACGTAACGTTCCTCACTCCCCGGACTGTATAATATTTTGTATAAACGTAAAATATAAACCAGACGTGATAACTTATTAAGTGTTATTCTTTTGAACGCCGGTCCATTGAGACTGTGCCGTTTCAAGACCCAACCTACCTGCTACAGGTGCCTGCAGAGAGGACACTTAGGGGCAAGCTGCACCGCTACCGAAATAAGTAGAAAATGCTACAGAGGTGGAAGACCAGGGCATATTGCGAAAGAGTGTTCTGGGGCAACCCGGAGCCCGATCTCAACCACCACGGTCCCAGCTGATTCAAAGCCGGCCCAGGAGAAAGAGCCAGCTGGCTCTGGGATACTAACATCATCATGACGTTCCTGATGCAGTGCAACCTCAAAAATTGCAGTGTGGCGCAGGACCTCATTCCCCAGTATATGGTTGAGGAACAGATCAGCATCGTCCTATTAAGCGATCCATACAGGGTGAATACTGACTCCAACGAATGGACCGCCAGTTCAGGTTCAAGCTAAAGCAGCTTTACATCGCAAGCGACGATGTGTCGCTGGCCAACGTGCTGATTGACTCAGAAATTGTCTCTGCGCGCATCAGCGGAGTTCATTTGTATAGCTGCTACGTGTCCCCCAACCAGCCAGTCGAAGCTTCTACCTATTTTCTCCAGCGACTTGATGATAGCATCAGGACCATCAGCCGTTTCTAGTAACTAGAGACCTAATCTAACCTTCCGCCTGGGGTAACTGGATGAGCAACAGGAGGGGGGGGGATGAATAAGGCTTAATGCTTGATTCTCTATTGCTTGTGATAGTGAACTCCGGTTTCCGGATTCTTCGCAAGAGGCGTCAGCTCCATAATTGAGCTCACACTGGCATCCGAGTCACTAGCCAGCGACATTAGTAACTGGAGGGTCATGATATCGGTATTCAACAACAGCGATCACCACTACATCTGCTTTACCCTCAACGCCAACACACCGAACCCGCCTTTCTCCCCCACCAGTGTCCGTGGTTGGAACATCTCCGGCGGAATCGATGTTGAAGCAGTCCGCATAGGTCTGCTGATCGCGGAATAGCTTGACGGATGGCACCAGTACGATGTGCAAGACTTTGGGAGCGTCAATTCTCCAATCTAGGATAAGCAGGGCGTGTAACTTTGCCCTTCCCAAACGTCAGGCCCCGAAGCCAGGAAAGCTGCCAGTCCACTGGTGGAACGCGGAAATCCACCTTCTCCGAGCTGAGTGCGTGAGGGCCAAAGGTGAGAATGGTTGAACGAATGACGAGCCTACGACGATGAACAAACACAGACTTCGACGATGAACGCGCAAGTGCTGAGCTAGAGAAAATTCACACTGGTTACGTCGAGGCTAAGAAGCAGCTCAAGCACGTGATCTCTCAAAGCAAAAACAGCTTGTTGGAATGAGCTTACAACGTCTATGGACCAAGACCCCTTCGGGAAGTCTTACAAACTAGTAATGTGGAAGCTTAGGGGACCTCCAGCAATCACCACCATGGAGCAACAGACGCTTGAGGCAGTAATCGGCACACTGTTCCCATCATACCAGCGCAGAGCTGTAGAACCAATGGCGCCCGCTGAGTCCATTGTAGCAATTACCCCAGCCGTAGTGGATGCAGCTATCATCAAAGCTAAGGCTAAAAACAAAGCCCCCAGCGTGGGCGGCATCACCAGCCACATTCTCACGGCCGTGCACAAAGCCGATCCCTCCAAGCTGACAGGGTTGTGTAACAATGGCATCGGATGCGGAACCGTTCCGTCCGAGTAGAAAACAACCAGGGTAGTGCTTCTGAGGAAATGCGATAAGCCAGAAGGAGTACCGTCGTCCTACAGACCCATCTGTTTGCTCAACGACGCCGGAAAGCTGTTGGAATCCCTCTTCATGCGAAAACTGGAAGATTTCATAACGAGCAGTGGTGGCCTCTCTCCAAACCATTTTGGGTTTAGAAAGAAGATGTCAACCAACGATGCGATTCGCTGGATGCACAACAACATAGTACAGGAGGTTAACCGTGGTAAATTCTTCCTGGCGATTGGGATCGACATTAAGAACGCTTTTAACTCCATAAAATGGAAACACATCCTGGCTGTGCTGGAAAGATGGGATGTCCCACCATATATATTCCGGATATTTCTTCGTATTTCTCCGCCAGATTTGGAACTACACCAGCTCAGGTGGTGTAAAAACAAATACAACACTCAGGGTTCAACGAAAAAGGATTTATATGGATAGAAACCTTAGGAACTACGTTATACAGCTGCTATTGTCCATCTAGTTCGAGTTTTAAGATCAAAGAATTCCAAGATTTTCTAAACTGTTTAAAATGCAACATAAGGGGATCAAGGCTCCAGTTATAGCCGCAGGAATCTTCAATTCGAAGTCCGGTTACAATTGGAGCAAAATTGACTCTGCTAGAAGACTTGATGACATTCTTGAATATGACAGCGTGCAATCAGGGAGGAGTAAAAACATTCGCAAGGGAGAACTCAGCCACCTTTATCGCCTTGAACTTTTGCAAGTAGTAGCTTATTGGATAAGGTACAGGACTGGAAAGTATTAGACGAAGAATCGCTAAGCCTTTATAAATATATAACTTTCGAATTCGGATGTGAGAAAGTAACAAATCTAGGAAAACACATCGCAAAAAGGTGGAGCTAGAGAAAATACGACGAGGAGAAACTCAGATCATATATAGAAATGATCTCGCTGGAAGATATGGACAATGTGGATAAAGCAACTCATAGGTTAGCGAGAGTTATCGAAGAAGGATGCCACGAAAGCATGCCTAAAGGACCGTATAGAGAAGGGAAAAACCAAATTATTTGTGGACCAAGGAGATCGAGGATCTACGCAAAAAATGCAATTCTACCAGAAGAACATTGAGGAGGAAAAAACGAAAGAGGGATCGGTTTACAACGATAGTGCATACATAGACCACAAAGAAGCAAAAAGAATCTCAGATCCACAAAAGAAAAAAGTAAAAAGGAGAGTTGGAATAAGTTATGTCGTTAGGTGGAGACCAACCCGTGGGGCCTACTATATAGAATAGTTACAAAAAAAGTTTATTGGAAACAAACCAATCCTATTGATAATTATAGCAGGTCGCTTAGAGACGATAATATGTAAATTATTCCCAAGCCACTATCCTATCAAGTGGCCAAAAGTGGAAAAGATAGAGCATTTCCAGAAATAACTGAAGAAGAGATAAAGTTTCAGAATACCAATAGGCAAAGTTCAGGGTCAGGGGTCTGATGGAGTACGTGACATTGTTATAAGAGGCGTTGTGAAATGGAGACCAGATATCCTGTCTAAAGCCCTCAACCAATGTTTTAGAGAAGGTTTGTTCCCTCTAGAATGGAAGACGTCTAGGTTAGTACAGCCCAACAGATTCAATCCTCGTATAGACCAATTTGCTTATTGAACACTGCAGGGAAATTCTTTGAGCGAATAACTAAAAGTAGGCTAGAAGCGCACCTAGAGAACGGAGGTGGATTGAGCGACCAACAGTTTGGCTTCAGCAAGAGAAGGTCAACGGTAGATTCAATAGATAAATCAATGATATTAGTCAAAGAAAAGTCTACAGGCAATCTCCGGCGCAGAGGGGTATGCGTCTTAGTAGCGCTGGATGTGGCAAATGCGTTTAACACTGCTAATTGGCAAAGAATTAACGGAGCATTAGGGAGAAAGGAAGTCCCAAACTACCTGGCTAAGATTATCCGGAGCTATATGAGCGAGCGATTCATAAATTAAGGTTACGACGGTATCAGAGGGGTGAACTATGGCGTACCACATTGGTCGATCATTGGACCGCTATTATGGGACATTATGAACGGCGACCTAGTCAGCGTGGACCTAGGATGGACAGCTCCAGGGTACTCATCGGCTACGCTAGTAGTGTTTGCTGATGACGTGGCCGTTATCGCAACAGGAAAAACTGCGGAAATACTAGAAACAACAACGAACTCAAAACTCGGGGCGGTGTCTCAATGGATGATGAACAGTGGGCTCAAAAAAGCAGCAAACAATATGGAAGCATTGATGCTTACTACGAATAGAGGATATGACGTCCCTAAATTCCAGATCTTGGACACGATAATTTAACCATAGGTACGCCTAATGTACCTTGGGGTGGAGCTCAGCAGAAAGTTGGGACCCAACAGCGGCTACAAAAGCTAAACTACGGCAGAAACACTTGGGAGAATTCTACCAAAAGTCGGAGGAGCTAGACAGAAGGCTAGAAAACCAATAGCCACCGCAATTACAAATCAATTACTATACGCAGCGCCAATATGGGCGGGGGAATTAACGTTTGATGAAAAAAGTTAAAGTCTTGGAAAGTCCACAAAGACAGTTAGCTCTGAGAACAGTGATGGCCTACAGAACCATATTGACCGAAGCCTTATTAGTATTAAGTTAACTGATTCCTACGCACTTGGCAGCACTGGCAAGCCAAATGATATCCAGGGAAAAGATACAGAGAGAAGCGGACAAAAAAAGATTTGAGAGAGTACAGTGGAATGATTGCAAAACGAATGGGATGTGGCGAAAAACGCAGATGGCAAAAAGAATGATTAAAGATGTAAAAAAATGGTCAATTAGGAGATATGATATGGTCGACTACCATACAACACAGATGCTCACCGGATACGGCTGCTCAAGATTCAAGAGGTTCGCTGACTTAAAATGTGTCTATTGTCAATTCAGTAATGGCGACGCAGAGCATGCAATTTTCAAATGCAACAGATGGTGGTCGGTAAGAAAGACACTGGAGGAAGATATCGGTATGCTGTTCGAACCGGAAACAATTGTTGAAGCTATGCTCGAGTGCAAGCGGAAATAGGATGTGATACAGAAGTTTATGAACATGATACTGGCAAAGAAGGAAGAAGAGGAAAAGAAACGACAACAAGATTAAAGAATTACTATAGTTAGTTAAGAGTTAACTGTATTGTGAGCCGAAAGCAAAATTTAGAGGGTTAGGTCAATCTCTTTTTTGTAAAGCATAAAAACAAAACTTGTGATCTTATACAATAAATGAAATGGATGTAGCGGGAAGGACGGCCTCATCAGTGGAGTGCTCCGCTACAGTGCCGTAACTCTAACACAAAAAAAAAAAGATTACGTTAGGTAAGGTTAGGTTAGGTCCCCCGCCCCCGACGAGACCCACCTTGATGTGGTGGGGGGCTCACAGACCATTTACTTGGTCTGTGCTAAGAGGTCTCCACTCTCCACCCTTGCACCGGTCTCGACCATCACTGGTTGATACCGGCAAGCCTTGGCCACCTGCTAACGCCATCAAACGGATACGAAGGAATCCGGAAATCTACCACCGGGGGAGTGATCGATGACCGGTGTCCCAGAAGATCAGGAACACGAACCGAAACCCGATAGATGACGCGAGGCTGGTGCCGTCAGTGGTGGACAAGCTGCAAAAATAAATATGATGAGTACAACCAACAATGATGATGTTATTACTGTAGAAGTTCTGGAGCATCAGCAGTCGTTGGGAGCAGGTGGAACTGGGTTAAAAGCCAGTCCCAACGTGCTTTCGTCACCGAGCAACCGCAACAAACTTGATGAGGGGGTGTCCAGCCAGGCCCCGGATTCTCGCAAAAATGCACCTGCTGAGACAGTCGTACTGCCAGGCACGCAACAGAGGAAGATGACTTTGAAGATGCGATTATTGGGGTCTTCTGTAGCCGCCGATAGTCTAACAAACACGATGATAAAACTGAAGAGCTTGGCGAAGGCTCAGAATAATCTATTGAACTTACTATTCGTGGAGATCAACACAATCTCCGTGCTCAGGCAGACAACGAGGTCTGAAAAAATTAAAGAGTCGATCAAAAACCTCACAGCGCTGGGTCAAAACTGCACTCAAACAGGAAACCATTGCACAGCATTGTAATGGATGCCTGCAAGTTGTCCGAACAAGCCCCCACTGAAACTCCCAAAAAATCAGAGCCTGAGCATCCTACTATCCTTTCCAACCAAGAGGCCATACTAAACATATGCCAGGACCGCAAAGCGTCGATTGCCAATCACAAAGAAGAAATCAATGGCCTGAAAATCTCTCCCGCGCAGATATGACCTACATATGACTAGCGTACTAGATCGAGAGCGCCTTCTACCAACCAGCAAGAAGAAACCAAGGAGAGCATACTACCGACTGAAGATGCGAACTGGAACATTGTGGGAAAAAAAACTAAAACATATGAGAAAAAAACAAAAACTGAGAATGAGCCAAATAGAAGGCGGAATAAGACACTTCTCCCGGACGCGATTCTAGTCAAGTCGGGGCTTGATGAGGAAACGAAAGAAGAACTTAGTTCTTGCCATAAAGAGGGCGAAGAAGGAAGACGCATGGAGAAAACTCTGCGATCTAGTCAAATACGACACACGGGGAAACTATACAAATTAGTAATGGCAAGCTGTCGAGGCCGTGTCACGATGGATGTCAGCAAACGAGTTGACTCCTGCTCCGGAGAAGTCTTAGGGCGTCATCTTGACGGGCAAACACTCCTTCGGGTCACCGAAACTCCTAGTGCAGAGCTTCCAAGTACCAGTGAAACGGGACATCAGGTAACTAGGGATGCAGCTGGACACCCGACTTTCATTCGTGAAACACACCAACCTGGTAGCCGTGGGTGCCAAAAGAGCGGCGGTCGTGCTCGGGAGGCTAATGCCGAACTTCGGGGGCCCCTCTCATGCAAAGCGAAACCAACTCATGAGCATAGTACATAGCCGGCTTCTCTACGGTGCTCCTGCGTGGGTGGAAAGTGTACAAGGTGTCCGAAAATCGGAGGAGGAAACGTCGCTACAGGCCTAGAGGACTGCTGCCCTCAGAGTCGCCAGGTGTTACAGGATGGTATCAGATATGGCGGCGTTGGTCCTGGCTAAAATGCTTCCGGCTTCCCTTCTCGCCAAATCGAGGAAAAGGATAGATGAGTCCAGGAAGAATTTCAACGTTCGGTCCAAGAAGGAAGCAAGAGATAGTCCGGCAGTCACTATGGGATTCTACCCCGAAGGCCAGGTGGACTAGACGGCTAATTCCAGACCTGGCGAAATGGTGGCACCACGGACCGGGTTAAGTGAGCTTCCACATGGCCCAGGCGCTCATGGGCCATGGATGCTTTCAAAAGTATCTATGGTCCAAGGCGAAGGCACGTAGTCTGGCCTGCGTCCACCACTGTACGAAGGATTATGATGACACGGAGCACACAATATTTGTATGTGTCCGTTTTGGGATGAAGACAGAAGAGAGCTTATGGAACTTTTCCGGAGAGAACCCTACTCAGAAGACGTCACCGAACTGCACTGCAGACCCACGCCAGAAGAGCTCCCTGCCTACATACTTCTTCGAAGAACTATCGTAGAGGCTAAGTCCAGAATCGCCACAGCTTTCTCCAAAATGGTAGCGTCCATTATAGCCCGCAAAGAGGAGTTGGAGAGGAGGAGACGAAGTGCTCAAGAAGCTGCGGCAGCAGACTAACTATAAATTTATTTAAGTTAATAACTGCAGGCTGAATGGCTAAAAGCAGGGTGGTTAGAGGCCCCAAAGGCTTTTGCAAAAATATTAACCTCGTGTTGTGTCATGTATATATTATTATTGTATGTTATAATTTTGTGTCAATAAACGATATGAGCGGGGAGGCAGTAATGGGAAGCCATATTTCCCTCCCCGTTGACGATTCCAAAAAAAAAAAAGGTCAGATCAGGTTGTGTCGCTTAGGATGTAAAGATTAACGGTATGCAGGAGCTCCTCCCAGATGATGCATTCAGGAGGCGACGTATCGAGGCGATGGCGGGGGGACAGAGGTTGGCGTTTGGCAAATTGGTGGAGCTGATTCTTGGGCGGAAGAAGAATGCAGAGCGGGCAAGGCAGGCGCGATTATTTTAGTATGGTGACTGAATTTGTGGGCCGAAGGCCAAATATCTAGGGTGGTTAGAGGCCCCCACGTATGTATAGCTATTATGTATGTTGCTATTTGTCAAGGTGAATAAACGATACGGGTTCGGGTGGCAGTATTGTGCTAAACAGTTCCCGCCCGTTACCGGTTTCAAAAGGGGAAAAAAACAAAAAAAAAGATGTTACGATGTGTATGTGTATGGGTGTGTGTGTGTGTGTGTGTGTGTGTGTGTGTGTGTGTGTGTTTGTGTGTGTGTCCGGAGTCTTTATAAATCTATTATTCGTTAACACGTTGAGTGCCGCAGTCGACGGATAGTCGACAATTCTTCTGTTTTTATTCGTGGTTATTCAGTGAAATGCCTATTTTTAAACGTTGTATTCGGATTTTATTTTTGCTTATTTTTAGCAAAGTAATGGTTATTTTTTTTAATTCACTGGAGTAATTTCTACACAATTTTGATTAAGTACATTGTAAAAGTTATTAATTTATCAATATAGAACTCAAAAAACTTGTATTTCGTATTATTAATTTCGCCTTGTTGAAGTTTTCACTTCTGTCGTGTGGTCTGATGCACACACATTTTTTTTAAACACTAATACATCAAAGATTCTGAGCTTAGCCGAAGAAATAATGAAAGCATTGATTTTACAATAATAAGTTTGCTTTTTGCGTGTGTCTCCTGATAACCGGATAATCGGGAAAAAAAAAAATGTGAGAAATCTGGGAATTATTACAATAAACCAGTTTTTGATCAAATTGATAAGATTTTTTTTATTTTTACTTACTAAAAAACGAATAATGGTATATACTAAATACTAAAAATTTTCATCAAATGTTCAT